ACAAACAGTCAAACACACAAACAGACACACAAACAGTCAAACAAACAAACAGACACACAGACAGACACACAAACAGTCAAACACACAAACAGACAAACAAAGGGACACACAAACACATTTCAGAATGTTCTTTCTTTATTGTAAAGAAGTTGTTTTCATCAGATTTTGACATTAAACCTGAAAAACAACAAAGTGATCAACAAACATTTCACCAGAAAATGAAACCAGATTCATGAACCGGTGAAAAACATGAGGTAAAATAAAGTTTCATGAAAAAGTACAAATCTGGTTTTCTGTTCAAACATCTAGAACTCGTCGTGTCGTCGTAGAGCTTCTCCGTAGTTCGTCACCTGACTTCCAACGAACATGTCGTGGTTGTTCAGAATTTCCTTCTTGCTCAGATTTCCATCCTGAAGAAAAGGAAACAACCGACAGGTGAACGAACCGAACACGAGAAGATGAAACGAACTCAGAGGAAACATTCTGACCTTGTTGGCGTCGGACTCCGTCAGCAGGTGTTTGGCTTCAGCGTCAGCGTAGCTCAAGTCAGGCGCGAGAATCCACTCCATGGTTTCATGTTTGTCCAACTTCCCGTCTTTGTTTTTGTCTCTTGAATTCACGAACACTTGACGTTCAGTTTCCATCCAGTCGGGAAAGTTCTCATCGTTGTCTGGGTTGTGCAAGTCGTCTGCAGCCAAGTGATCAGATATCAAGGGAATCAGACCGTTAACGTTTTAAATGTATTTTTAAAAACATTTGAGTTCTCAGTTAAAGTTGAGAGCAGAACGTTTTACCCATGAACTCTTTCAGGTCGATGAAGCCGTCTCCGTTCTTGTCCATTTCATCCATCGTTTCCTGTTCGCACAGATCAACAACAGCGACTGTCGTTTGAATTTAAAATCGCTGAACGAGGCAGAATCAGTGACATCGCGTGACGTCACTCACCTGAACCAGGACGTCTCTCATGTGCTGGTGGTTTTCAGGATGAAGAAAAGCGATGAACTCATGTTTGTCTGCTTTTAAATCTCCGTCTCTGTCGGCGGCTCTGAAGCGTAGCTCCTCCCGCAGCATCACGGAGCTGAAGTTAAACTCTGCTGACACGAGGATGTCGTCTGCTGGATCAGAGCATCGATCAGAGACGTCGACACCAACGTGACTGTTCGATAAGAGAGCGTTGAACGGTCTTACCGTTGACCTTGGCCTGTTTGTACTCGTCCCAGCTGATCAGTCCGTCCTGGTCTTTGTCGTAATGTTGCCACTGATTCTCCATTTCGCTGAACGAGTGGTTCCTCTGGACGGTTTTGATCCAAGTCTTCAGTTCGTCCTCTGAGATCACGTTGTCGTTGTTGACGTCGATTCTGTCCACGATCAGGCTGCAGAGAAACACGACGCTGTGAATCAAGCTCTGAAGCTCTGGAGGTATCAGAACACTGACGTCATCATCAACAGGTTGTTTGTGTTTATTTCATGGAATCTGATTCTTTAACTGAGAGAAACTCTTGGTGTCGTGGTTTTTGTTTTCCTCTTTTCAAAAGTTAAAAAAAAAAAAAACATCAGGTTGAACTCGTCGAACGTGTCGAGTTCACGTAAACTTGCGGAGCAGGAAATAAAAACCTGAACGTTTCCAACCAGAGACACGTTTACAGAAAGACACGCCTGAACCCTCGATGTGACAGTGACACGTACACAGCTCCACAGCACGGGGACTTCTGCACCGTTTCATTTCACGCTGAGGAATCGAACCTGAACTCTGTGGATCAGGTTAGTTTGAATTCTTTTCTTCACTTCAGGAAAACGAAATAGTTTCATTTATTATCTACGTATTTAACTCACCCGAGTCGGCGCATGCTCTCCTCCGGGGGGAGCTGGTCAAAGTTTTTCGCTTCATCTTCTCCCAGAAAAACTTCGTGATCGTACTCGAAGCTTTTGTTGTCGTCGTGCTTGAGTTGACTGAGCGAATCCTCCAGGATAACTCGACTCTTCCTCTCTGCCGGTTTGCTGCGGCCGAACGCGACGCAGAAGAAGAAACACACCAGCACCGGACGAATCATCCTGAGACACATTCAGATATGAGACGTTACACGTGTCCCTGATCGACGGACTCACAACCAGGAGACAACAGAGATGAAACACATTTACACTGATGGATAAAAACACCAGATGAAACTCAGTGACTCTGTAGTAATGAGACATTAAAGTCATTAAAGTCATTAAAGTCATTAAGGTCATTAAAAACTGGCTAAACAAGCTCGAGTTTTAAAACAATGTTTAATGTCACATCTGAGATGAATGAAGTTACTCTGACGTCACAGAAAGTTTTAAACATGTTCATTAAAGTGACGAGTTTTTAAAAACATTCAAGTTAATTCACTAAAACTATATAAACGTCAACATGACATCACAGTTTCTATAAAGGAAATATACTGAGTCTGAACTCTGTGAATTTTCTTTACA